GACCTTTGGGATGAGCGTTTCATGGATGATATTCTAGAGTCTTCGCCTAGAGATACACATACTCATAGAGATTACCTAGCTAACTGTAGATATAACCGTAACCCATCGCCTCCTAGGAAATATCGAGATGCCCCATGGTAGGAGTACTATGATTTTAAGGGCTGGCTAGATTCAAATGCTTTCTTGGACTGGTTAGCGACAATGGATGACTACTTTGAGTGGTATAATATGAGTGACCTGTAGTAAGTTTGTTTTACAAAAATGAAGCTCACCACGTATATGAGAAAGTATTGGTAGAATGTCTAAGGAAACCTTGAGCATTGAGGGCAGCCTCTGATTACAACTTGGACTGAGATGAAGTTAAAGCTGAAGGAAAAGTACATACCCACGACTTACAAAAGCCAACTCTTCAACCAATTACTTAATCTCAAGCAAGGGAATTCCATAGCAGCCAACTATGTGATGACCTCATGGTCCGTAACTATTTGAATGAGCCATATTAGGTTACCATCAAACAATTTATTAATGGTCTTAGAATACACATTCAGAGGGTACTTTAAATGAATTGCCCTGACACATTAGAAGAAGCCTATCATAAGGCTAGGGAAATAGACTTATTGTCTAGATACCCATCTACTCGGTGTACAAATTTCTCAAGCATGGAATCCTAGCAAGTTCGCACATTCCTTGCTAACACTATGAGCTAGAAAACTAGTTCTTAGTTTTTAGGATAGAGTGCTTCGAAACCAAGAGTATCTTTAGCATCAAATGCTCGTACCAGCGGCTTGACCATTGAGTGCTAAAAGGCCATATCACTTCGAAGTGCCCACAATGCACACTGATAATAGAATCTCAAAATGATGAAGCACTCATTGAAAATACCCCTGATGTTGTTATTGACCCGATCGAGAGTCCTTCTGATGTGGATGAAGAAATCATTGCAAGCAACATTCCATTAGAGCATCTTAGGGTGATGCGTTGTCTTCTCACTGTCCTAACACCAGATGATTCTTGAAAGAGGAATAGCATCTTTCACACATTTGTGAAATCTAGTGATAAGTCATGTAAGCTGGTTATAGATAGTGGAAGCGAGAGAAATGTCATATCGAGCTGAGGCGTTGCTCGGCTTGGACTGAAGACAAAGCCTCTTTCCAAACCTTTCCATGTCACTTGGGTTAACAATACTTCTCTACCAATTACTTAGCAGTGTCGCGTACCTCTTCACTTGGGTGAGTACAAGGAAGACGTCCTATGCGTTGTCATCCCCATAAACGTGTCTCACATTCTCTTCGAACATCCCTGGCTCTATGATCTTGATGTCACCATCCATGGTAGGGCAAATACCCACGTGTTTAAGCATGAGGGCAAGACGATCTTGCTTTATCCTGCTAAAACTAAGCCTAAGGAAAAGGCCCCGCCAGCATAAAGGGATTGACTGCTAAGTACCATAGCCTTCACCTCCTGAAAGAGAGACAATTCATACAGGAAAGTAAGGAGGTTGACTTTGTTCTTGTTGTCATCTCTAAGGTTGCTACCCTACCTACATTAGTAGCCAGTGATCTACCTAGCGAAGTGATCCAACTCCTGAATGAGTTCAAGGACATTGCACTAGAAGAGTTACCTTCTAATCTACCACCTATGAGGGACATTCAGCATGCAATTGACTTGGTCCCTAGATCACAACCCCCTAACCTACCACATTACAGGATGAACCCAAAAAATAAGGAAGAGCTCAATCGACAAGTCAATGGACTACTTGAGAAAGGCTATATCTGGCATAGCCTCAGTCCCTGTGCCATCCCTACCCTCCTGACTCCTAAGAAAGACGGCTATTGGAGGTTGCTGTAGACAGCCGAGCCATTAACAAAATAACCATCAAATAATGATTTCCTATTCCAAGGCTCGATAACATGCTTGACTTAGTATCTGAATCTACTTGGTTCTCTAAACTTGACCTTCGCAGTGGATACCATTAGATTTGAATAAGACTAGGAGATGAGTAGAAGACCACATTCAAGACTCAAGATAGGCTATATGAGTGGTTAGTTATGCCTTTAGGCTTAACGAACACCCCTAGTACTTTTATAAGGGTGATGACCCACATGCTACAACCCTTTCTAGGGAAGTTCTTAGTTGTTCACTTTGATGATATCCTGGTTTTCAGCAAGTCCATAGACAACCATTTGAACGACCTTAGAAAGGTATTTCTTACCCTTCAAAAGGAGAAATTTTACCTTAATCTACCTAAGTGCTCCTTCCTGCAAAATCAAGTTATCTCTCTCGAATTTATTGTTTCTGAACATGGTCTATCTATGATTCTATAAAGGTTCGCGCTATCCAGGAGTAGCCTGAACCTCAATCACTACATGCAGTGTGGAGTTTTCATGGCTTAGCATCCTTCTATCGGCGCTTTATTTGAGATTTAGTACTGTTATGTCACCACTCACTGGCTGTTTAAAGAAGGATAAGTTTTGTTGGACCCCTACTGCCTTGAAAGCTTTCCAAGCCATTACGGATAAGCTAACATGTGCCTCAAATCTTGCGTTACCTGATTTTAGTAAATGCTTCAAGGTTGTTTGTGATGCTTACAGAGTGGGAATTGGTGGTATACTTAGTCAAGATGGCCATCTTGTCGCATTTTTCAGTGAGAAGCTTAATGACAGTAAGCAAAAGTACTCCACATATGACAAGGAGTTCTGTGCCATAGTTCATTGTTTAGATCACTAGAAGTATTACCTCCTAGCCAAATAGTTCGTCCTTTATTCATATCACTAGGTGCTGAAGTTTCTTAATTCCCAACAACATTTGAACGCTAAACATGCTAAGTGGGTTGAGTTCATTCAAGAATTCACCTTTGTGGTTAAGCATCGACCGAGAGTAGAGAATAGGGTAGCTAATGCTCTTAGCAGACGAGTCTACCTTCTTAATACCATGACAGTTAGCGTTGTTGGTTTTGAAAAGTTAAAACATGAATATGCAGCATGCCTTGATTTTGGACTCATCTATCGAGAGGTTTTGGATGGTAATTGTCATGATCATGTGGATTTATTAGTGGATGATGGCTACTTATTCTGAGGGTCTAAGTTATGTGTTCCTCGTACATCAATGCGTGATTTCCTCATATGGGAACTATATGCTAGAGGCTTAGCTGGACATTTTAGCGTCCAGAAGACTATTGTCTTGGTGGAAGGTAGGTTATATTGGCCTTCCCTTAAGCGTGATGTTGCTTGAATCCTTTCTCAATGTCATACCTGCTATATAGCAAAGCCAAAGAAGAAGAATATTGGGTGGTATATACCTCTGCCAATCCTTGAGGCACTTGAAGAGACATCAGTATAGATTTTGTGTTAGGGTTGCCTAAGAAATATGAAGACCCAATTCTGTCTTGGTTGTAGTCAACAGGTTTTCAGAGATGGCTCACTTTGTACCTTGTAGTAGGACTACTAACGCCTCTCACCTTGCTAAGTTGTTCTTCAAAGAGATTATGCGTCTCATGGTCTTCTTAGTACTATTGTTTCAAACAGATATGTAAAATTTGTCAGCTACTTTCGGAAGATACTTTGGAAGCTGCTTAGCACTCAATTAAAGTTTTCATTATCTTTTTACCCTTAGACAGATGGTCAGACAGAGGTGACAACCGTAATTTAGGTGACTTGCTCCGTAGTTTAATTGGCGATAAGTCGGGTAACTGGGATTTAATCTTGCCTATTGCAAAGTTTGCTTATAATAACTCGGTTAATCAATCCACTGGCATGAGCCCTTTCTAGATAGTTCAAGGATTTAATCCTAAATAGCTTGTTGACCTTGTACCCATTCCCTTATCTATCCGCCCTTCTGAATCCTCTAAGACCTTTGGCCCATTGCCTTCATGATGTTCATGTTAAGGTCAAGCGTAAGCTAACATTGAGTAATAACAAGTACAAGGTTAGCTACCAATGCTCATCGTCATCACCAGAAGTTTGAGGTAGGAGACTATATTATGGCAAGCATATGCCCAGTGCACTTCCCAAAAAGACCTTATAAGAAGTTGCATACGCGTGCCTCTGGCCCATTTCATATTGAAAAGAAGTTAGGGGCCAATGCTTATTTGTTAGAGTTACCCCCAGACATATCTATCAGTCCAGTTTTTAATGTTGAGGATCTTGTTCCTTATCGAGGTACTCTTGAGGCATCCCATTTGTGTTCTGATGACTCTACAGGTACCTAGCTTCCCCATGCCCTGACTCCATCACTGCCAGGTGTTCTACCGGTTGCTAAAACCATTGACATTGTGATGGATGAGCAGACACTTTTGACTCCAGCAGGTCCCATTCACCGTTTTCTGGATTGTTGGAAAGGTTGTACTGACTTAGATAGTACATGGATTACCGAGGACAAGTTTTGTCATATGGACCCTACCTTTTTCAATGACTACTAGCTTTGTAACTCTCTGGTGGTGATTTCTTCCAACTAGGGGGAATTGATGCAAATATTTAGAACTTATACTATTTTTAATTTTTATTTTAGTATTTGAATAATTGAATTATCTAGGATATTTAGATTAGTTAGATTTTTAAGGATTTATTTAGATTTGTCAGTATTTTATTATTTAATTATTAAGATTAGTTGTTATTATTATTATTTTCATTTTTATTATTGTTTTAGTATAATTAGATCTAAAGTTTCATTCTACGGCAGATTGCGTTACACGATTGAAGTTACAGACTTATTCTCTCTCAGCTTTCTCCTCTTTCTTCCTATTCTTCCCTAATTGTCTAGCTTTTCTTCTCAATTTCTCACTTTTCCTTCTTGTTCCACATCATAAAAATATTAAAAGTCGGTTAAATTTTCAAACATATCATTTAAGTACTCATGTGCTCAGGATTATATCTTCAAGCCACAAGGATTAACTATGGATATGATTATGAAACTTTAGGAATTTGAATAATAACAGTTAGTTAATTTCAAGGAACAAATCGATGAGCGACCATAATGTATATCTATGCATGAATTGATAAAACAGTTAAAAGAAAGAGGGTGACTTGACAAGTAATTGTTATACAAATACAATGTTTGAAGGTGGTGGAAAGGGAGAAAAGAAGAAGCATTGAGCGACCATTTGATGTGCCTCAACTCATAAGGTCTTGTATTGTTCAGAAGAAGGCTTATGACTCTATGAGTGGAGTTGTCACACACTATAGCCTCCCAAGTTGCTTTATAGTCTAATGGTATAAAAGCTCTCCTAAGGTGACTAGTGTCTACCTTTGTATTTTTGTATTAAAAAAAAGTTGGTACATAAAGCCAAAAGTAAACTACACGTACCTAAAGCTTTCTATACACTCATATATAAATGGTATGGCTAATTTTGATAATTTAAGTATTAATCTAAACAAAATTTACAGTTGAACTTCATTAGCCTAGGATAACACAACAGTAAAACATTAGAAAAATAGGATGGCTAGCCAGCCAAGAGGAGAGTTACGTTACAGCAAAACTTAGTCAGAACCAAACATGAGGGGCGATAATGGCTGTTCAATATATAGTCAGTGATCCTAAGAGTTATAAAGGGTACAATTGATATTATACATAAGGAATTTCTCAAATAATTAAAAAATTAATACATCAAAATGTTTTTTTAATTATTTTCCCACTCCATGCTCCATCCTATTCTTTCTCTATGTTGATTTAGAAGCATGAAGCCAAAGCAGAGATAAGTACATAGACAACATGCATTTGCAATATTCACCATAACTGAGATATACAACTCTCATTGCAAAAAAAAAAAGACTTTTGACAGCGGTTAATAGTGGTTTTTTACGGCGGTTTTGAAGGTGAAGTTGATACAATCAATGTTGAAAGGTAAACAAAAGACAGCGGTTGAGAACCGCCGTGAAAATGAAAATTGATTTTCCACGATGGTTAAGTAAAAAATGCTATGGAAGTTAAAATTCCACGACAGTTACGTAAGAAACCGCCATGAAAAGTTAGATTTTCCACAGCGGTTACCCAAAAAATCACCGTGGAAAATGTTTTTAACGACGGTTATTTTAATAACCACAGTTAAAAATTTTTTAAAAAAATTCTCCATGATTTTCTTTTTTACCACCTTACAGTTTACAATTCCAAATAAATGTAGGCAGTGCAGAATACGCAGAACAAGACCATATGAACAAGTAATCAATTATATACAGCAAGCATTGAAGTTTCTTTTACACAAAGCAAAAATAGAGAACCAAGAGAGCTAAGGGGAACCTGAGACCAAAGAACACGTATAGGAACCAAGAGAACCAGCATCTTGAAAGAAAAGTAACTACTTCTGTTTGTACAATAGAAATAATGAACATGTATAGGAGGGAACCAAGAGAAAATATCTAACAATGAATTTTTTGGGGAATGACCTAACAATTTGAAAGTTTCAATATTTTGTACCAATATTGTTGACAAAGTGTCCCTCATCAAGTTGATGTCATCCATGGGATATCACTACAAGAAAATGTTGAAGTAGCAGCGGAACATTTCTAGCGGTTCAACAAAACCGCTAGAAATTCCAAATATTCCTAGCGGTTCCTATAAAAACCGCTGCAAAATACAGACGGTTTGACCATTGCCCGTACATTTCTAGCAGTTACCACCTAACCGCTAGAAAATTAGAGCTAGAAAATTCCCCGGGCTTTGGCGGGAACTTGGCGCCAAATTTGTAGCGTTTACTTTCTAGCGGTTCAGGCTAATAAACCGCTAGACACCGAAAAATTCTAGCGGTTGATGCATGAAGCGCTAGAAATATTTTTCATTCCCGAGGAGTTTAGAAATTTCTAGCGGTTCGGTCCACAACCGCTAGAAATTTCTAGCGTTTGTGGACCGAACCGCTAGAAATTTCTAGCGGTTCTGGACTGAACCGCCAGAATTTCTAGCGGTTCTGGGCCGAACCGCTAGAAATTGCTAGCGGTTTGGACCGAACCGCTAGCCAATTCCCGAGGCACATGTGACCGTTGGGAATTCTAGCGGTTCGGCCCAAAACCGCTAGAAATTTCTAGCGGTTTTGTGCCTAACCGCTAGAAATTCTCGGTCTATATATACCCCCCCACACTCTCACTTCTTCAATCGTTCTGGAAGCGAAGCTCTGCTGAATTTTCTCCACAAACATATTCGAGTTCTGATTCAGGTGCAGATCCTTATTTTCAGGTAAAATAGTAATTTATTGATAAATAATTTTTATTTTATGTTTTATTTTATTTATTTTATTTGTTGTCGCTTATAAATAATTTTTCTTTTTATTTCATTTATAAATAATTATATTTGTTGTTATTAGGATGACTCGTCGACACGGGAAAGACCCAGTTGATCCTGAGAGAGCTGGACCTAGTGAGGTTCATCATGATGCTGGTGAGCCATTCCCAGCATTCATGACTACGATCTCAGCAAGGAGGATATCCTCAGTTTTATGGAGCAGGATGATGTTGAGCGGACTGAGGAGGCTCATTTTATTGGGGATGAGCAACCCCATGCTGATGCTGATGCTGCTGACGAGGAGGAGGAGGAGGAGCAGGATCAGGGGAATGAGTATCCCCAGGCTGCGCAGCGTCCTGCTCCGAGACGTCAGGCTGGTTATGAGGTGGAATTTGTCGGTAAGTATTTATTTAACTTTTTAAAGTTTTGATCAGTATTTAATTTATATAGAAATTGTATTAATTTATTGATATATAATTTATTTCTTAATTAAATTTTGCAGACACTGAGGGGAACAGGTCCTATCGGAGGCTGACAGCCAGAGAGCTGTCTATGATGACGGGCGGACGAGTGGTTGTGCCGCTCAATGAGTTGGGCCAACCGACAAAGAAAGGTGGCCAGTTGTACAACAAGTACGTGCGCCTCCTTGGTCAGCAGTGGACGCTGTTCCCCATCTATGTGCAGGACTGGAAGAAGATCACCTCAGACAAGAAGCAGCAAGGCGGGAAATGATGAAGGTAATATAAAATTGTTATTTATATTTTTTTTAATTTAAATAAATGATTATATATTTGTTTTCAAATAATTTAATTGTTTGATTATAATTTTTTATTTATTTAATTGTTTGTTATTTATAACATTTTTAAAAGTAGTTAAATGAATATATATTTTTATTTAAATTATTTAAAAGTAGTTAAATGAAAATAATGTTATTGATTTCATTAATTTATACTTATAATAATTTAAATTTAGTTGAGTAAAAATATTTTTTCATTTAAATTACTTAATTGTTTAATTATTATTGTTTTTGATTAATTTATTATTATTTATATATTCTTAAATTAGTTAAAAACTAATTATTTGTTTTTGATTATTGAAATTGCTTAATTATTTATAATTTGTTATTTAGTTAATTTATTATTTTAATTTATAGAGTAAAATTATTCTGGGGGAGGAGTTGAGGGCTGACTGACACGATCAAGAGGCTTGGGATGGCATGGAAGAACAGGAGGGCCGACCTGTGGAGGGAGAAGAAAGGTGACGGGACGGGCCCTCCAGGAGATACTGGAGATGTACTGGTGGGTCCCGGACCAAGACTGGTCCAGTTACGTCTATTTTAGGATGACGGCTGACCAGATGGTATGATAATATTGTATTAATTATAATTTCTTTATTTTTTATCCGACTTGACTCATTTAATTTAATTTTTTACATTTGCTTCAGGCTCTTTCTAAGAGAAATGCTAGGAGCGTCAGGCATCAGACGATACGTCATAGGGCTGGATCCAGGAGCTTTTGCGATCACTTATGACGAGATTGTGAGTACTTGAAATAAATTTATTAAATATGTATATGTATTTAATTGTAACTAATTATTTCTTTGATTTCATTTACAGGGGGAAAAGACGTAGCAGGAGCGGGGATACGACGCCCACTTATGGCGAGATGTGGCGATGGTGTATGACCCCGAGACGGGCGGCGTCGGATGAGGTTGAGGAGATAGCGGTAAGTAATAAATTAAAATAATATAATATCACAGTGTAGATATCATTATATATAATTAACTTCTTTATATTAATTTTGGTAGGCAACGGATGACTCAGGTCGATTCCGAGTTGCGTGAGTCTCAGGGGTCTGCCTTGGATCCCACCGCCTCATTAGCGGGTCATGGCCGGCCGCAGCAC